AGTTGCCATCTGCAGAGGTGTTTGTTGTATGCTATGCATGCCTGCTGGTTTACAAGGTCACTTTCAACAACCACTCGACATGGTTTTGGGAAAATGGGAATGGTGGCAGCTGCCTCTTCTTCCAAATCTTCCTCAAGATCTGCTTCTTGGACTTCCTCAACACAGTCGGCAATGTCTAATATAGATTCTTCCAGCCCAATGCAAGGAAGTTTGTCGACCATATCCTGCGATGCACCGCTATTTTACAACCCAAATGAAATGTATACTATCAGTGAGTGAAAAGTAAAAGATAAGAAAAAAAATACATACCGTAATGAGATTGGTGGCACATAATCTGAATCATACGGGTCTGAAACTCCATCCCCCTCAAACTCTATTCTGGAATTAAAAAAGAACAGCCCAATATGTAAATTATGAACCAACACATACACATTGAATTACATTGAGAATAACGTACACACTGTTTTCCAGATTGTTGGCTTGTTTCTCATTCAAAGCCTCTTCCTTCAGCTCCATTGATTTGCTGCTTCACAATAAGACAATTTACATTCATTACAAAAAACAGTATTCGTCAAATGTTAAAATTCATGCATGTTTACCTTTCCTCTAACGATTGTAACCTTGTATCTGCTGTCAAAGGTTCAACTCCTGCAAAAAGGAAAGTCTTCCCTGTAGGACAAAATACTTTTTAGTTGACGGTGGATGAGTGGTAACCTGTAAGCAGAAGTTGCATTTGGCAAACTCACCTATCAGATTCGCCTGCAGTCACTGAATTGGGGGGATGGGGCCCCATCAACACCTCTGCTGATGGGCCATGGGGTGTGGACGTGACTGGTCCCTTTGATAGAGGGTGCCTCTCGTAACTACAACAATAGGGCTTTGCCAGCTAATGCTAGCTAGTGTGTTAGTTTGATGCAGAGATCTTGCTAGAAATGCGTATTACAGATAGTATTTAGAAAATGACCCATCATTCTCTCACTCTGAGCACTTTCCACAAATAAAAACTTAGATGTAGACAAAAATAAAGTATTTCGCTACGTAGCCTTTCAATGCACAGACACCGCTGCTTTGAAAGCATAAACACATGTGTTTAGAGAAAATGTCTTACCTTTCAAGCAGAAATGATGCCAACTGTGGGTCTTTTCTCATGCCCAGAGGTTCTCTCAGAGTTTTCCACCTCTCAAAAGCAACTCCAATGTTTACCCTCGTTTGTTGCCTACTGCGGTCAGATTCGAGTTTCCCCCTTTTGGTCACACTAGAAATAATTTTCTGTTTCTTTGCTTTAGTTTGGGTCTTTGCTGGAGTTTCGGCGCTGCTTGAAGCCGGTCTCTTGTTGTTCTTCGCTGTATCCATCCTCCCACAGTCACCTCTCGCTCTGCAGATGCACTAATAACACAAGTAGCCAGCGCTGCTACAGCTTAGCGTGAACGCGCATGACGTCATTACGCATCACGCTGCCCTGGATGGTTTCGACCCGAATCCTCAAATTTCAAGCAGATAAAGACATGTTTATAGGCATATAGAGGCAATAGCAATGAAAATGCCAGGGCTCATTCTACACACCAAGGCATTGCTGGAGAATGTATGTGGAAGAAATTTTAATTCTGTATAGTTTTATAAGTGGTGAAACTTCCATATAGCCTCTTTAAAGGAGCAATGCTTTGATAGCATTTTTTAAAAAGTTAGAAATCTAGGGGTAATACTGGCTTTTTACCATCTAAAAACATTGCCAGGATCAAAAACATAGTGCCTAAAGCAGACCTGGAGATTCTTATCCATGCATTTGTCTCCAGTAGGTTAGACTACTGCAATGGCCTGCTCACAGGTCTGTCCAAACAGGCTGTAAAACAGCTGCAGTACATTCAAAATGCAGCAGCTCGAGTCCTGACTAGAACCAGGAAGTACGACCACATTAGTCCTGACTAGAACCAGGAAGTACGACCACATTAGTCCTGACTAGAACCAGGAAGTACGACCACATTAGTCCTGACTAGAACCAGGAAGTACGACCATATTAGTCCTGACTAGAACCAGGAAGTACGACCATATCAGTCCTGACTAGAACCAGGAAGTACGACCATATTAGTCCTGACTAGAACCAGGAAGTACGACCACATTAGTCCTGACTAGAACCAGGAAGTACGACCACATTAGTCCTGACTAGAACCAGGAAGTACGACCACATTAGTCCTGACTAGAACCAGGAAGTACGACCACATTAGTCCAGTCCTCAGGTCTCTGCACTGGCTTCCTGTGGCTCAGAGAATAGACTTTAAAACAGCTCTGCTTGTTACAAGTCTCTCCATGGCCTCGCACCAAAATATATTAGTGACATGTTAGTCCCATATGAACCAGCCCGGACTCTGAGGAGCACAGGGACTGGACTCCTGCTGGGACTCTGAGGAGCACAGGGACTGGACTCCTGTCAGTGCCCAGAGTCAGAACTAAACATGGGGAGGCTGCTTTTCAGATTCATTCTGCTAAAATCTGGAACAGTCTTCCTGAAGATGTGAGACAGGCCTCGTCTCTGACAATGTGCATACAACTGAGGGATTTTATACTTTATATTTTTATCTTTCTTTTTAATGTTCTGTGATTATTTATGATTTTAATGCTTTCTTATTTTGTTCAGCACTTTGCCTTGCATTGCCTAGCATTCCTCCGGTGAACGTCGGCTTGATCCACTGGGTTCAGACCATGAATCCTCTCTGCTCTGGTCTGGACCAGTGTAAAACCATGAACACTGTACTGCAGCAACATTTACAGGGAGAGAAAAAACAAGTGCATCTGTAAAGTTTCCAAACTGCAGGAACCTTAAAGTTTCCACATTTTGCTCCTTCCACAGATCGTGTCCAACATGAGCTGCTGCTGTGGTTCATTCTGTTCAGTATCCACAGCTCTGGGTCCACTCTCTCAAAGCTCTCAGCTCTAGACCTGACGCTGTAACGACTGTGACTCTGCTGCAGCCTCCGCCGTACGCTGTGGCCCTGACCCTCACTTTGGGAACCACTGCACTAGCACCAGATCACAGCACACACAGTCACGATCCAGACAGAAAACTCCAGAATCTTCTTCTTAGTCAGAGAAGAAGAGATGCTTTAATAAAACAGTGGGGAAAGAAAAGAAAATCTCTAACTTTAGCATAATAAAGAAGCAAGAATAACATGTGGTATAATCTAGTGCATAAATATAGTTGTATGTTTACATCTGTACATTAGCATTAGCATTAGCATTAGCATGGGGTTCTGGAACACAGTGACACACGTGGCTCTAGTGCACGTTCTGGGATTATTCCAAATTATTGCACAGATGTGAGGTCAGGTCGGCAGTATTTGTTAGTCCTCATTGTTTGTTGTACAGTCTGACAGCAGCAGGAAGGAAAGACCTGCGGAACCTCTCCTTCACACAGCGAGGGTGGATCAGTCTGTCACTGAAGCGAGTGTCCAGCAGGGGGCGACGTCATGGTCCACACAGATGTTTGTCCAGGAGCCTTCTGTCCCCACCTGCTGCAACCAGGACAGACCAGGACAGACCGAGGCAGACCAGGACAGACCAGGAGAGACAAACCAGGACAGACAGGGACAGACCAGGAGAGACAGACCAGGACAGACAGGGACAGACCAGGAGAGACAGACCAGGACAGACAGGGACAGACCAGGACAGACCGAGGCAGACCAGGACAGACCAGGAGAGACAGACCAGGACAGACCAGGACAGACCAGGAGAGACCAGGACGCACCAGGACGGACCAGGACGGACCAGGACATACCAGGACAGACCCATGTTTCTCTGGTGTCATCAGTCTGAGTGGTGTTGCCGTCCTATAGGGACCACGGTGCACAGAAAACTCTGTCCTTGAGCACATAATTAAAATCCAGCTTGATGTGATTGACAGATGTATTTACGGCTAATCACCGTGACTGACAGCGTCCCGAGCCACCAGCAAAACAATGTGACCGCGCATTGTATGGACCACGGTGGATCTGTGCACAGCCTCATTCAGACTAGAACGAGTCTGAGCCCAAAGCTCTGTCTGCTCTCACTGCAGCGATGATGCTACTGTCCTCACGGAGAAGCTCCAAGGCGGACTCAGTCCGACCGTGGACTTAGCTCCAGCAGTGTGTGTGTTCTATTATTATCTTTATATAATTATAGGATGTATGTGTTTTGTTTTTTGCCATATGATAAAATAAAACTATGTATACCATGTATTAATATAGACTCTAATTAGTCTACATTATTAATATGTCATCATGTTATGTCATGTCATTCTCTACCTCTTTATAATTCCATCTCTGGGTCGAGAGGTGACAATCAGAGCTGCCCAAGTCTCAGAGCACCAGTCCCTCTGATCCTCCTGCAGGTGGTGGGTCAATGGTAAGATGGCTTCTCCGTCATTAATGTGATGGCCTTGGTCTTTCAGCGAGGGCTTCAGGCAATGTGGGGTTAAGTGTCTTGCCCAAGGACACAACAACATCAGACATCATACAGTATATTATAAATATGAATCAGTTAAGTCCCCTTTGAATAGTTTGTGCCATTCAACAGATGTATTCCTAAATCTACTTGAATCCACCTTCTACAAAAGAATCCTGATCAGGTGAATATTGAATCGAATCATTGTTGTTTGAAGCTGAAGTAACTTAGCCTCGAGATGTGAACAGTTTTCAACAAAGGTCTGTGGCTCAGAGAGTTCAAGAGAGTTCCTGCTCCTCGTCTGTGGAACACTCTCCGCAGGAACTGTTCCAACTGCAGGAGCGTTTTAATCATGCCTCAGCATTTACATACGCCTGTGCTTATTGTTAATATCTCTGTGTGTGTATCTGTTGTGTATGTACATATGTGTGTTTATGAATTTTTATGTTTTATATTTCGTAATTTTTTATCATTTTTTATTGCTTTATTCCTATAATGTGTTATTGTTTCCCAGTGTTTAGCACCCTGTTTTGCTTCTGTGTGAATGATGCTTTATAAATAAATTTGCCTTTTTCTTCAGACACATGAAAATTGGAGAAGTCTTGAGTGTGAGCAGCTCCTTTGTGAGCACAGGGTCAGTCTGTGCTTTGTGAGCAGAGGGTCAGTCTGTGCTTTGTGAGCAGAGGGTCAGTCTGTGCTTTGTGAGCAGAGGGTCAGTCTGTGCTTTGTGAGCAGAGGGTCAGTCTGTGCTTTGTGAGCACAGGGTCAGTCTGATGTCTGTACATTATGTCAGAGTCTGAGGCCTCGCTCTCTGTGAGGACAGAAGCATCTAAACTCAGATTGTGGAAAAATGCACCGAGTCACACACTGTCCTGCAGTGAAGTGTTCAGGGGCAGAGTCTTTGCAGCCAGGGCAGCCCACAGATGGAAACTTTTTTTGTTCCATTGTTTTAAAAAGATGGCGCTGAGTCTAAAGTCAAAGCTCTGGATTCATTGCTCAGAGCTCGTTCCCTCTCCTCGGGTCTTGAGCTCTGGGTAAAGACCGAAAGAAGAGTCGTGAATACAAGCGTCTGAATGAGCTTCCTCCTCAAACCTCCTCCCTGACATCAGACCCACACAAACCTCTGTCCATGCTGCTTCTAAAATGGAACTAAATGTACTTTTTACTGGTGATTTAAGACGACCTTGACTGTCTAGAAAGGCTCCTAAGAAATAATATGTATTATTATTATTCCTTTTCAGTTTCTTATGTGATTTATCTAATTAATAGTAATTTCCCACTGCTCATGTGTGGTGGGAAAATAAGGATAAAGCCTTTAGTTCAAATAATAGATCACTAAAATAATGTTAAAGATATGTACTCTTTCCTTGCGGACCGGTATTGAATTCGCTTTGGCCCTGTACCAGGGTTGGGGACCAGCGAAGCCTGGTAAAGTATGAGTGCAGCAGGACTGTGTGGGCGAGCGCTCCTCTGCTGCTGGCACACTGCACTCTGTGGCGTCTGGTCCTGGCTCCGCACCAGCAGAGACGAGTGAACAAGCAAGACGAGCGTACCAGCAGAGACGAGCGTACCAGCAGAGACGAGCGAACCAGCAGAGACGAGCGAACCAGCAGAGACGAGCGAACCAGCAGAGACGAGCGTACCAGCAGAGACGAGCGAACCAGCAGAGACGAGCGAACCAGCAGAGACGAGCGTACCAGCAAGACGAGCGTACCAGCAAGACGAGCGAACCAGCAGAGACGAGCGTACCAGCAGAGACGAGCGTACCAGCAGAGACGAGCGTACCAGCAAGACGAGCGTACCAGCAAGACGAGCGAACCAGCAGAGACGAGCGTACCAGCAGAGACGAGCGAACCAGCAGAGACGAGCGTACCAGCAGAGACAATAGAAGCAGATGGGGCAACAGTAGCTCATAATTTTAATCCAGACTCCCCCGTGCAGCCCTCACCATCGCAGCCCTCACCATCGCAGCCCTCACCATCGCAGCCCTCACCATCGCAGCCCTCACCATCGCAGCCCTCACCATCGCAGCCTTCACCATCGCAGCCCTCACCATCGCAGCCCTCACCATTGCAACCCTCACTATCGCAGCCTTCACCATCGCAGCCCTCACTATCGCAGCCCTCACCATCGCAGCCCTCCCCATTGCAGCCTTCACCATCGCAGCCCTCACTATCGCAGCCCTCACCATCGCAGCCTTCACCATCGCAGCCCTCACCATTGCAGCCCTCACCATCGCAGCCTTCACCATCGCAGCCTTCACCATCGCAGCCATCACCATCGCAGCCTTCACCATCGCAGCCCTCACCATCGCAACCTTCACCATCGCAGCCCTCACCATCGCGGCCCTCACCATCGCGGCCCTCACCATCGCAGCCTTCACCATCGCAGCCTTCACCATCGCAGCCCTCACTCACCATCGCAGACCTCACCATCGCAGCCCTCACCATCGCAACCCTCACTCACCATTGCAGCCCTCACCATTGCAGCCCTCACTCACCATCGCATCCCTCACCATCGCAGCCCTCACCATCGCAGCCTTCACCATCGCAGCCTTCACTATTGCAGCTGTAAGGTTAAATAAGGGACAGGGCCGTAAAACAGAGCCAGGCCCTGTTGTGTACACATTCGACCAAAAGGAGGAAGACGCCCCACTGCAGCTTCAAAGGAACAGCGAGGTCGGCCGGAGGACTATCATTGATCATGGGGATTACAGATGCCAAAAAGAGCAATAAAGTCACCACGGGGATAAGCACCCCTGTCTCTGCCTGCCTGTAGAGATCAAAGATCACAACCCTGCTCTCGCTCACAGACTCCTGCCACCGGACAATCAAAGACTCCCCCGCGGCGCTCTGACGCCCCCTTGTGAACAATGGACACTATCACACCCGGGACGGACAATTGCGAACCGGCACCCCTGGGTCCAGTACTCCAATAATCTGCATTGTGCCCCATATGTGTGTATCAATGTCAAAGTAATGAAATACGGTGTGTGTTTGTACATGTCTTATGATTATTAGCATCAATCCTGTGTGTTTCCTTTACAAACTGTCTGTTGTAAAAGGGGTCTGTCCACAGAGGGCAGGGGCGCCATGGACACGCCCCCCTGGGAAGTCAATATAAACACGAACAATGCCATAGAACGACCTCTTGCCTTCTCCTGAAATCACTATCGCAACCTCCCTATCGACTCTGCGGCGGCACCAGTACGGGCCTCCAGCAACGACTGTGCCCGTCCGCATCGAGACTTTCCCTTTCAAGCAAACCTATTTTCTGGTTGGGATTTATGAACTCTTCATCACCAGCCGGCCCTGGCTCTGGACTCTGCGCACGTGACTCATTCCGGACTGAGTGTGCACGCCTGGATCCAAAGTTGGACTGCCGTCGCTGGCTTCATAATTCCCGCCTGCCCGGACAAAGAAACCACGTGGACGACATCGCCTCCACCCTATTCTTCATTCTCATCCTCCACTCCATCCTCATCCCAGTCACCCACCTCCCTCTACGCTCCTTCAAAGTAAGACTGTTCTTTGTTAAATGTGCGATTTGAATGAAATGTATACCACTTCTGCTTTAATGTGACCAGAAATCCCCTTCGTTATATTTTTACCTTCACTTTTGTAATCAATAAAACCCTTTTCTTTAACTAAACCCCATCAGAGTCGTGTTGTTAGATCTCGGTATATCCCTGGCCGATAAAAGTACTCACTACCTATTAGATTCATAAGACTGATCGAGGCAAAGATTTGGTGTGTCTGTGCGCAGATTTCTAACTCTGCTGGTGCCCAAAATAAATAACACAGACCTGTTGGTGGAACGGCGAGCTTCCGCTCCGGAGACTAGCCGCTCCACGCTACCAAATTCATACTAAATTTATAACATTATCTGTAGTATTATTACCCTACATATAACTAGTTACCCTACATATTGGTACCCTGTTTGTGAGATCCGCGAATATAGACCAGATTTATCGACTCGTACTCTGTGACTGATCTGCAATACGCTAACTTAGACTGCTGCTCCGCTCAAAGCGTTTCCCCCCACTCCCGCACCCCCCACATCCCTGCTACCCCCGTTGCTATAGTGACTTCAACGGCAATCGAGCTCCCCTACGCCCCACGCTTGCGATAAAAGCGTCTCGTGCATGCACCAGACTATTAATTTAGTCTCAAAACCCTGGCTTTTGCACAGGTACTACACATTCTCTCCAACGTTTTGCCCTGTCTAGGCCAGTCAGGCAGCGTGAGTCTGTGAAAGTCGCTTCCCTCTGAAGAGAAAGCGCAAAACCTTATTCTTATAACTCCACTGTACACCGTGTCCAGAACACGGGTGTACGGATCTACTCTGTGTCCCTTGGTGACCCAGGTCACACAGGATTTTAACCGAGTATATCTGTGTAAAAGGCTGTAAATGGCTGCTGTGTGAAGGTGATACTGTTGTTCTGCTAAAGGTGGCTAACGCTAACTCTGTCTCACCACTCTTTCTCCTGCTACTCTGCTGTCGTACATACACACACCAAGACTGTACTGCACAATACAGACAGACGCCATCCCACCACTGTGATTACGTGCTTGTGCGAACTGTATAACTCGCTCCAGACTTTCGTGTATAAACTGCTGCTACAATGTACCGTTGCCGGCAAGCTAAATGCTAGCTACGCTCCTTTGTTTTTAGCATACGGCTAACTTCCGGCCCTGGCGCGCTAAAAGCCAGAGCCGCATCCCCACTGCTAATACCATTCTGCTGCATTGTCTACCTGTTATCTAACAATAACACTACTTACTATACTTCGTACTATCCTATCCCACTCTGATTCTGTGTTCTGACGATCATAAGGCGCCAGCCGTGTCGGCATACCGCTAAACGGGCCGCACCTCTTTTATTGACTAACACAAAATTGCTTTCCGGTCCCGGCACTACTTCCGGGACCACATTGCTGCTGTCTTGACACTTCATTCCGCACCACGTCTTTAATCATCTGTGAATGTGGCTCTAACGTGAAACGGCTTTGCTATACCTCCGTGCTGTTTCTGTTCCAACTAATAACACATTACTTGGCCAAACTTGATGTTTGATTGTACTAAACTAATACGCTAATTCCGCCCCTCCTTGTACTAAACTAAAACTAATAATTTTAATCCTGCCCCTTCTTCTGCATGTCACGGCTAGACCACACTGCTGCCCATGGTGGTAACATTACCACGGTCTAGCTGTTGTTCCATGCTGTTTTGTTGCTCAAACTAATAACCACTCTATGTTTGATCGTACTACACTGAAACGAATCATTTTAATTCCGCCCCCTTCTGCATGTCATATTGTTTTATTAGAACACATTACTGCTATACGTAACAACAGCTAACACTCTGCTTCTGCTTCTCCTCTTAAACATAATTGTTAGGCTACATTACTGCGTTGACCAAGTTTCATACTGTAACTCTGCTACTTCTAGCGCATGTTGCTATTAGAACACATTACTGCTATACATAACAAAAGCTAACGCTCTGTTTCTGCTTCTCCTCTTAAACATAATTGTTAAGCTACATTACTGCATTAGCCAAGGTTAATGCTGTAAACTCTGCTCTCCTTCTGCTGCATGTCGCTGGTGATACGCATTCTATGCTTTATTCCTGCTCACTCACTACTGCTAGTTTACAGTAACACATCTGTGTGGTGATTTAACAAACACTGCACTCCCACACACCCCCGCCCCCCTCCTTGCCACTGATAATAACACATTGCTGTGGTAACTAATCCTATTCTGTACTCCTGCTCCTGCATGATGCGCGTTATTGTTGAACCACATCGGCGTGTGATCTGACAGATACTGCACTCCCACCTAGTGGTGAAACTAACACTCTACTATGCCAAACTCTATGTTTGATTGTACTACATCAAAACTAATACTCTATTTCTAACCCTCACTGTCGCTAAAACTGCATTACCTTGCCTCAGCCTGCTGCCTTTTTGCTACTGCTTACTTGAGCTGCGTCTAAAGCTACGCCGCGGCCCAAAACGCAAGTGCGTACCAAACGCAAGTGCGTACCAAACGCAAGTGCGACACCAAACGCAAGTGCGACACCAAACGCAAGTGCGACACCAAACGCAAGTGCGACACCAAACGCAAGTGCGACACCAAACGCAAGTGCGACACCAAACGCAAGTGCGACACCAAACGCAAGTGCGACACCAAACGCAAGTGCGACACCAAACGCAAGTGCGAGAACAAACGCAAGTGCGAGAACAAACGCAAGTGCGAGAACAAACGCAAGTGCGAGAACAAACGCAAGTGCGAGAACAAACGCAAGTGCGAGAACAAACGCAAGTGCGAGAACAAACGCAAGTGCGAGAACAAACGCAAGTGCGAGAACAAACGCAGGTGCATCTCACGCTGCGTCTACCGCTGCGGATTAACGCCGCGCCCTAATACTGCTGCTGGCGCCACTGCTAACCCTACGTGCGCCAACGCCACTAACCCCAACGCTCTCCGCTGACACACAGGTGAAGAAGTACTAACGCCCGGCCCCTGCCCTAGGCCGCCTACTCGCATACACCGCCACACGGAAAGGACGCTGTAGTCACGGTTTTGACACACACCAAGGTCTACACCACCACACGACCAACAGCTAAACTACCCTCTCTATAGCACTGCTTTCCTCCTTTCCCTCCTCCCACCGTGTCGTACACACACGTTCCAAGTCATACTCGCATACACTCACCCACACAAATATGGAAATCGATGGCGGAAACTCGCCACGACCGAGCAGGCACGACGGTGTCTCAGAAGGACACGGCATAGTGGATAACTTTCTGCGAGACCTCACAGAGAAGTTATTCCCAGGGGGCTACGACACGCTTGAGCACAGCTCACTCTCTGACTTACAAGATGCTACCTCCAGATTAGCATCCGAAGCTACTACGACGAAACTCCAAGGTAAGACCCTAACCCAGTGGCTAGGACGACTGGCCATAATCTCCAGGATAACCTTGCGCGACTCCGAAGCCCAGAAAGCAAGGCTCCAAAACACAGTGAGTGACCTGGAACGACAACTGGCGGAAACTAGGAAATCCGCCGCGACCCGCTTACAACAAATCCCACAGGTAAGTAGGGACCACCAACAGGGACTGAGCATGACTCCAAGCGCGACCATGGATCTTGATCGCGCAGCGGAAATCAGGACCGCTATTTCGAACGGAACCAGCCGTGACAGTACCTCCGGCCCACACTCCCCTCGCTCCGACCGCGGCGAACCATCGTCCAACTGTGAACGCAGGAGCGTGGCCGAACTGGTAAGTATCATGACGGGAAAGGACCAAAATCAAGGTCATAGGAACAATACACAACCCAACATTGGACACGTCGACCACTGCGACCCCCACGACGCCCCTCCGGGAACACACATGGACATGCGACACAGACAACATGACTATCCGACCCATGACCCCGGCCCACCTGACGTCCATACGAGACATGTTTCAGACCGCAGCCATTGGGACGAAAGGGCCCGCCCTCAACATAGCGGACAAACCTACAACGACCCCCCTGGCCCACACCTGAACATGCTACATGGACCACACGACTTACGGTGCCCCAAGTCTGGGCCGTCCGCATATGTTGCGACACAATGGCCAGTGACCCGCGATGGGAACGCCGGGGACCTCCCCAAACATGGAGGACAACCCCACGGCGACCCCCCTGACGCACGCCAGGACTTAACCCTAGGCCAACGGGACTACCCGGACTGGGGGGGGACGGCCCCCGACCTCGACAGGTCGGACTTAGCCTCCCTCCGACACGACAACCCCACACTAGAACGCCCCTTCGACGTCACGATCGACACGACGCTCGGAACCCCCGGCCGTGATGAAGAAATAATGCCGATACGCCATGGGCTGTTAGATTCTGCTTCCGATACACTCACTTCGTCGGTACTCGTGGTGCCTCGAAGCATGAGGGGGGTAATGTTGGCACACGCCCATGACGCACCTACCGCGAAACAAACAGGTATAAACAACACACGTCAGGCACTACAACAGGTAGAAACAACGGACCGAACGGCGACCGAAATACTAAGGTACGTATCCCCAAACCGGAGTGACGAGAACGTGAAACTCCCCCGGCGCCTGAGGACAAACCAATACAGGACCGACCCGCAGGACCACCCCCAGGTCAAAAACCAGGTATGGTATTACACCTTGGCACACTCCCCAGGACACGCGGGGACCGGCCCCACCAGACTACGCCGGAAATCGCTACCCCGCTGGTCAAGACCATACAGGGTGGGAAACAAACTCTCAACCGCAGTGCACCAAATCGAGGTCACAAAAGGTAGAGAGCCCACCCTCAGATGGGCCCGTTACAGCCAAACCAAACCCACAAACAAAGCCCCATGGGACAAGCAGGGCACACTTCAAAACCCAGTTAGGAACACACCACGTGACCTCAAACACGATTAGCCCAGCACTCACCAACACTCTTCTCGGCTGCACTAATCGACTTTCTCTTTCTCTGTCTTTGTCTAACCCCTAACAGTTGTTTCACGCCTTGCAGAACATGTGGCCCACTTTCCTTCTCGTGCTGACCTGCATACTGGGTCTCGGCACCCCAGAAATTATTGAGACCGGACCAGCCTCCGGGATCGTTTTAAAGGAACAACCCGGGCTCCTCATCACGGATGTCCGACTCCACACACAGCGAATCTTTGTCAGACTCAATCCTAGTGAAGTCTGCCGCAAGAACCTGCCCTTGAAGGTCACACTCAAAGATTGGGCAGGTGCACGCTGGACCCAGACGGTCGTGGAGCATGCTGAGGCAGACATACAACACATGCTGACGCAACTAGAGAAGTTCACGATCACTAGGACAGAGCTCAGTGACCCTCGCCCCAGACCCAAACGATTTATTGGGGCTCTCCTCGGCGCGGCGTCCGCCCTGGGCACCCTCTTTAGCTTAGGGATGTCCACGGTAAACGCCATCAGCCTATCCTCCCTCAGACGTCACCAACAAGAAATGGCCTCTGAGCTCGAGGATGTCAAAACCAGACTTGACCAACAACAGAACGACGTGGTAACCTTGGGAAAATCCCTAAAAGGAACCATGCTAGTACTTAACACACACGAGGTTGCGATTAAACGCACCTCCGCTGCGGTCAACCAACTCTTAGACGTCCTCCAACTAGACTACGCCCATACTCAGCTGACCACCCAACTGATGGAGGACATGCTACGTCACCTCAGTTCCTTGATCGAAAACCTAGCCATGGGCCGTATCCCGCCATACCTCGTGCCGCTATCGTTAGTTGAGAACATTCTAGCCGTAGCCACACGGGACGCCGTAACCCCCATGCAAGCCCACTTAGCGTACACGCTGGGCGCTGCAGTCCCCCTCTATGTTAATCCTCTGGACCGCGAGGTAGCCTTTCTAGTCACCCTACCGATAGTTCCCGGCGATAAAATCTACCGACTAAAAGGGATCACTAACCTAGGGACTTGGAGGGACAATGCCCACGTCAGAGTCCAGACCCCAGACATAGTAGCCTACCACGACAGTAACCCCAATTTATACCTAACGCCAAACCTAAGGATGTGCACCCTCACCAAGGACATCCATTACCTCTGCCCCAGCAAACCTTTCGTCAGGGACAGCACCGATGGCATCTGCGGCCTGAGGCCCATGACTCCAGGGAGTCGATGCCCCGCGACGGTCACCTCGCGGAAACAAATAACCGAAACTAGAGCAGAGATTGTAGGGGCACGCTGGCTAGTGAACACTCCCCTTAGAACGGCGACCCTGACCTATGACAAACATGACACCTCGTCCCGAGTAAGCCTCCCGGACGAAACCTTTTGGGTCGACGTCCCAGCCGACGCTATCCTGCACGTAGGCGACCTGGCATTATACCACCTGTATCCGAACCAGTACGATGCAGAGGTCGAGATACCAGAGTTCTTCGAGGAAAGGGCCTTGGAACTTCAACCCTCCACCCTCGTCCAAGCCACCTACGAGGGGGCACAAACCGTTGACGTTACGGTCGTAGACAACCTCCTCCAAGAGATTGCCAAGCGACCGACCATCCACCACCAACCAGTAGCCTACTCCTGGGCCGCCCCCGATACAGTCATGGCCATCGCGGTAGGACTCGGGTACGGCCTGGTCGTAGCCATGGCCTTCGTCCTAAATAGACGGGTTAGACGACTCCGCGATAGCTTTAACAGGTGCACGGAGGCAATGACGAGACAGATCCGTAGACGACCAAACCGGGGCGACAGCGCCGTCGAGCGTGGCAATCTGAGTCGGCGTCCCCAGGTCAATGAGTCAGAGTACGAGGACCTCCAAAGTCACCCACTCGAGACGGTCACCCTTTCTATCACGGAAGGTGAACCAAGGGCCTAAAACACCACTAAGAGTCACCAGCTCAGACCCAACCAACCTACCTCGATACCTAATCAGTCTCTTAGACAATCATACCTGTCATCCCCGTTTATATACAGGAAATGCCCCTCGTAATTAAAGCCCCACTTGCTACGTCATATATTCGCGTAACCCTTACACTCCCCTTTTAGAACGAGCAAGGTGGGAACCCCTCACCATCGAGTGCCTTAACGACGCTCCTACCCGCTGCCAAGGCAGCCACCCTTTTTCGGATTTTATGAAGTTTCTTATTTTTACATCCTAGTCCGCTAGATTAGAAACTCCTGCTAATCTCTCGGCTTGGAACTTTGAGTCTTCCAGACCAAGAGACCCAGGAGTCAGGCACACCGGCCCAAACCTTAGAGTTCACGGCCGGAGCTCACTCCCTAAACCCCCGATCCCAGTTAGAACTAGCCTGCAGGGCCAGGACTCGCCTTAGAGAAAACCCGGCCTCGACAAACCAAGCCAGGGGCCCGAGACCCAACCGCTACGAGCCTGGCCCCCGTTAGGCGCTTGCTAGCTACTGAGTCACATTGAAGCGAGAATGTTGTAACATGTCACCACAAATCACGCACTAACACCCGAACAGGCGAGACGACCGACCGGGGACACCCGCCCGGCATATCCGACATGACATGCACCTTGTCGGAAGGTGCATCTCTGCCGTGGGGGGGGTATGTAAGGTTAAATAAGGGACAGGGCCGTAAAACAGAGCCAGGCCCTGTTGTGTACACATTCGACCAAAAGGAGGAAGACGCCCCACTGCAGCTTCAAAGGAACAGCGAGGTCGGCCGGAGGACTATCATTGATCATGGGGATTACAGATGCCAAAAAGAGCAATAAAGTCACCACGGGGATAAGCACCCCTGTCTCTGCCTGCCTGTAGAGATCAAAGATCACAACCCTGCTCTCGCTCACAGACTCCTGCCACCGGACAATCAAAGACTCCCCCGCGGCGCTCTGACGCCCCCTTGTGAACAATGGACACTATCACACCCGGGACGGACAATTGCGAACCGGCACCCCTGGGTCCAGTACTCCAATAATCTGCATTGTGCCCCATATGTGTGTATCAATGTCAAAGTAATGAAATACGGTGTGTGTTTGTACATGTCTTATGATTATTAGCATCAATCCTGTGTGTTTCCTTTACAAACTGTCTGTTGTAAAAGGGGTCTGTCCACAGAGGGCAGGGGCGCCATGGACACGCCCCCCTGGGAAGTCAATATAAACACGAACAATGCCATAGAACGACCTCTTGCCTTCTCCTGAAATCACTATCGCAACCTCCCTATCGACTCTGCGGCGGCACCAGTACGGGCCTCCAGCAACGACTGTGCCCGTCCGCATCGAGACTTTCCCTTTCAAGCAAACCTATTTTCTGGTTGGGATTTATGAACTCTTCATCACCAGCCGGCCCTGGCTCTGGACTCTGCGCACGTGACTCATTCCGGACTGAGTGTGCACGCCTGGATCCAAAGTTGGACTGCCGTCGCTGGCTTCATAATTCCCGCCTGCCCGGACAAAGAAACCACGTGGACGACATCGCCTCCACCCTATTCTTCATTCTCATCCTCCACTCCATCCTCATCCCAGTCACCCACCTCCCTCTACGCTCCTTCAAAGTAAGACTGTTCTTTGTTAAATGTGCGATTTGAATGAAATGTATACCACTTCTGCTTTAATGTGACCAGAAATCCCCTTCGTTATATTTTTACCTTCACTTTTGTAATCAATAAAACCCTTTTCTTTAACTAAACCCCATCAGAGTCGTGTTGTTAGATCTCGGTATATCCCTGGCCGATAAAAGTACTCACTACCTATTAGATTCATAAGACTGATCGAGGCAAAGATTTGGTGTGTCTGTGCGCAGATTTCTAACTCTGCTGGTGCCCAAAATAAATAACACAGACCTGTTGGTGGAACGGCGAGCTTCCGCTCCGGAGACTAGCCGCTCCACGCTACCAAATTCATACTAAATTTATAACATAATCTGTAGTATTATTACCCTACATATAACTAGTTACCCTACACAGCCCTCACCATCGCAGCCATCACCATCGCAGCCCTCACCATCACAGCCTTCACCATCGCAGCCATCACCATCGCAGCCCTCACCATCGCAGCCATCACCATCGCAGCCTCACCATCGCAGCCCTCACCATCGCAGCCTTCACCATCGAAGCCCTCACTCACCATCGCAGCCTTCACCATCGCAGCCCTCACCATCGCAGCCCTCACCATCGCAGCCCTCACCATCGCAGCCCTCACCATTGCAGCCCTCACCATCGCAGCCCTCTCCATCGCAGCCTTCACCATTGCAGCCCTCACCATCGTAGCCCTCACTCACCATCGCAGCCTTCACCATCGCAGCCCTCACCATCGCAGCCCTCACTCACCATTGCAGCCTTCACCATCGCAGCCCTCACCATCGCAGCCATCACCATCGCAGCCCTCACCATCGCAGCCCTCACTCACCATCGCAGCCCTCACCATCGCAGCCTTCACTATCGCAGCCTTCACTATCGCAGCTACATCAGAAGTAACTTTTTGAGGGTTTGGTGTTTGTGCGTTTTTCTCCAGGTTCTAGTTTCTGCTTGTGTGTGTGTGTGTGTGTGTGCATTCAGCATTCATGTGACATCAATGCAACAAAGTGCAATGAAGTGCTGTGGTGTGTGCGTCTGTAATGAAGTGCTGTGGTGTGTGCGTCTGTAATGAAGTGCTGTGGTGTGTGTGTCTGTTATGAAGTGCTGTGGTGTGTGTGTCTGTAATGAAGTGCTGTGGTGTGTGCGTCTGTAATGAAGTGCTGTGATTTTGTCGGTATGCGCCGCACGTGTTGTGGTAATAGGCGTGTTGTTGTGTTGCGTGTTGTGGTAATGGCATGTTGTTGTGTTGCGGTCCTGGAGGAGGCTGCTCTGACCTGATAAGCTCATTACAAGTGCGCACTAATTGCAGACACACTCCACTCGCCTGTCGCCACGGGAACGCTACAGACCGGTCCTGTCTGACCAGTCCTCTTTGGATTCTGGTTCTGATATAGGAAGGTAAGCAGAGCTGAAGTTGGCTGGATGAAACTGTGTTTATGACCCAAAGACTCCTTTACGTTAACAAAACAGAACATTTTTATTGTTATTATTCATAATTATGTCATTATTCATTCACTCCAAACACGGTGGTGATAAACTACTACTGTAGTCACAAGACTGACGAGGCCACCAGTCTGGGCCATCAGCCCCTCCCACCACCACCAACCATTCACGCACACACCAGACTCATTCTAATGTGGGGTAAGTGTCTTGCCTGAGGACACAATGACAGACACTGTGGCACCTGGTGTCCCCAGAGGTCTCCCATCACAGTACTGACCAGGCCCTGCCCTGCTTAGCTTCAGAGATCAGGCAGTGCAGGTGGCGCTACACTAACATGACACTAACCCTTGAACGTGTCTGAGGTCACAGCAGCAGAGACTCACGTCAGGAAGTGCATGGACGTCACGCATTTATCCTGCAGCAGACGCCCTGTTCAGCGGCTCGCTCCACACACGTGCAGCAAAAATCAGAGAGCAGCAAAGAGGTCACAGGGACATGTGCTGGTCCAAACCAGGAAAAAGAAAACACTCAAAAACAACCAAAACAGGTGCTTAACCAGGACTAAATCAGGATTAAACCAGGACTAAACCAAGATTAAACCAGGACTGAGGATGGGGTTGTGAACATATGTCTTCACCCTGAGTTTCACCTGTGACTGTAAGTGCTCCTAAAGTGTCACTGATGCAGAAGTACTTACCACTTCCACCTGTGTTTTCCCCTAACGCAGCAGGACGTCAGATAAACTCATGCTCTTGATGCTTAGTGAACATGCGCCCATGCACCATCTACACGTCCATGCACCATCTACACGTCCATGCACCATCTACACGTCCATGCACCATCTACACGTCCATGCACCATCTACACGTCCATGCACCATCTACACGTCCATGCACCATCCACACGTCCATGCATCATCTACACGTCCATGCACCATCTACACGTCCATGCACCATCTACACGTCCATGCACCATCCACACGTCCATGCATCATCTACACGTCCATGCACCATCTACACGTCCATGCATCATCTACACGTCCATGCACCATCTACACGTCCATGCACCATCTACACGTCCATGCACCATCCACACGTCCATGCACCATCTACACGTCCATGCACCATCTACACGTCCATGCACCATCCACACGTCCATGCATCATCTACACGTCCATGCACCATCCACACGTCCATGCATCATCTACACGTCCATGCACCATCTACACGTCCATGCATCATCTACACGTCCATGCACCATCCACACGTCCATGCATCATCTACACGTCCATGCATCATCTACACGTCCATGCACCATCTACACGTCCATGCACCATCTACATGTCCATGCACCATCTACACGTCCATGCACCATCTACACGTCCATGCACCATCTACACGTCCATGCACCATCTACACGTCCATGCATCATCTACACGCCCATGCACCATCTACACGTCCATGCACCATCTACACGTCCATGCACCATCCACACGTCCATGCATCATCTACACGTCCATGCACCATCTACACGTCCATGCATCATCTACACGTCCATGCACCATCCACACGTCCATGCATCATCTACACGTCCATGCATCATCTACACGTGCATGCATCATCTACACGTCCATGCATCATCTACACGTCCATGCATCATCTACACGTCCATGCATCATCTACACGTCCATGCATCATCTACACGTCCATGCATCATCTACACGTCCATGCACCATCCACACGTCCATGCATCATCTACACGTCCATGCATCATCTACACGTGCATGCATCATCTACACGTCCATGCATCATCTACACGTCCATGCACCATCCACGCATCATCTACACGTCCATGCATCATCTACACGTGCATGCATCATCTACACGTCCATGCATCATCTACACGTCCATGCATCATCTACATGTGCATGCATCATCTACACGTCCATGCATCATCTACACGTCCATGCATCATCTACACGTGCATGCATCATCTACACGTCCATGCATCATCTACACGTCCATGCATCATCTACACGTGCATGCATCATCTACACGTCCATGCATCATCTACACGTCCATGCATCATCTACACGTCCATGCATCATCTACACGTCCATGCACCATCTACACGTCCATGCACCATCTACACGTCCATGCACCATCTACACGTCCATGCATCATCTACACGTCCATGCACCATCTACACGTCCATGCATCATCTACACGTCCATGCACCATCCACACGTCCATGCATCATCTACACGTCCATGCATCATCTACACGTCCATGCACCATCCACACGTCCATGCACCATCTACACGTCCATGCACCATCTACACGTCCCATGCACCATCTACATGTCCATGCATCATCTACACGTCCATGCACCATCCACACGTCCATGCATCATCTACACGTGCATGCATCATCTACACGTCCATGCATCATCTACACGTCCATGCATCATCTACACGTCCATGCATCATCTACACGTCCATGCACCATCTACACGTCCATGCACCATCTACACGTCCATGCACCATCTACACGTCCATGCACCATCTACACGTCCATGCATCATCTACACGTCCATGCACCATCCACACGTCCATGCACCACCATCCACACATCCATGCACCATCTACACGTCCATGCACCATCTACACGTCCATGCACCATCTACATGTCCATGCACCATCTACACGTCCATGCATCATCTACACGTCCATGCACCATCTACACATCCATGCACCATCTACACGTCCATGCACCATCTACACGTCCATGCACCATCTACACGTCCATGCACCATCTACACGTCCATGCACCATCTACACGTCCATGCATCATCTACACGCCCATGCACCATCTACACGTCCATGCACCATCTACACGTCCATGCACCATCCACACGTCCATGCATCATCTACACGTCCATGCACCATCTACACGTCCATGCATCATCTACACGTCCATGCACCATCCACACGTCCATGCATCATCTACACGTCCATGCATCATCTACACGTGCATGCATCATCTACACGTCCATGCATCATCTACACGTCCATGCATCATCTACACGTCCATGCATCATCTACACGTCCATGCACCATCCACACGTCCATGCATCATCTACACGTCCATGCATCATCTACACGTGCATGCATCATCTACACGTCCATGCATCATCTACACGTCCATGCACCATCCACACGTCCATGCATCATCTACACGTCCATGCATCATCTACACGTGCATGCATCATCTACACGTCCATGCATCATCTACACGTCCATGCATCATCTACACGTGCATGCATCATCTACACGTCCATGCATCATCTACACGTCCATGCATCATCTACACGTGCATGCATCATCTACACGTCCATGCATCATCTACACGTCCATGCATCATCTACACGTGCATGCATCATCTACACGTCCATGCATCATCTACACGTCCATGCATCATCTACACGTGCATGCATCATCTACAACGTCCATGCAGCATCTACACGTCCATGCATCATCTACACGTCCATGCATCATCTACACGTCCATGCACCATCTACACGTCCATGCACCATCTACACGTCCATGCACCATCTACACGTCCATGCATCATCTACACGTCCATGCACCATCTACACGTCCATGCATCATCTACACGTCCATGCACCATCCACACGTCCATGCATCATCTACACGTCCATGCATCATCTACACGTCCATGCACCATCCACACGTCCATGCACCATCTACACGTCCATGCACCATCTACACGTCCATGCACCATCTACACGTCCATGCATCATCTACACGTCCATGCACCATCCACACGTCCATGCATCATCTACACGTGCATGCATCATCTACACGTCCATGCATCATCTACACGTCCATGCATCATCTACACGTCCATGCATCATCTACACGTCCATGCACCATCTACACGTCCATGCACCATCTACACGTCCATGCACCATCTACACGTCCATGCACCATCTACACGTCCATGCATCATCTACACGTCCATGCACCATCCACACGTCCATGCACCATCCACACATCCATGCACCATCTACACGTCCATGCACCATCTACACGTCCATGCACCATCTACACGTCCATGCATCATCTACACGTCCATGCACCATCTACACATCCATGCACCATCCACACATCCATCTACACGTCCATGCATCATCCACACGTCCATGCATCATCTACACGTCCATGCATCATCTACACGTCCATGCACCATCCACACGTCCATGCACCATCTACACGTCCATGCACCATCTACACGTCCATGCACCATCTACACGTCCATGCACCATCTACACGTCCATGCATCATCTACACGTCCATGCACCATCCACACGTCCATGCACCATCCACACATCCATGCACCATCTACACGTCCATGCACCATCTACACGTCCATGCACCATCTACACGTCCATGCACCATCTACACGTCCATGCATCATCTACACGTCCATGCACCATCTACACGTCCATGCACCATCCACACATCCATCTACACGTCCATGCATCCATGCGTCCATGCAGCGCCATCTGAACACAGCTTTAGAATGATGTTTTGTGTGAATGGAACAT